GGGCAGTTTCACTGGTTGGGTCATGTCCTGCAATCACACCAGGCACAGTTTGGTTTCATTCATGACACCATCACAGACGCCTGTTCTGTGCCAGGCACCACGGGAGGCCCTGAGCCAAGCAAGATGAACAGGATGCGGTACCCACCTTAGAGGGGCTCACCCTCTAAAGGGACACAGACATGGAAACAGGGCTCATCCCTAACAGGGAGAGCATTCAGACATAAAACCAGAGAATATTCATCCATAGTGGCCAATGCAAATATATGAGCAACAGGGATGGAAATGAAAGACACTTAGGGAATACAGGTGTCTGTTCTCGTTACTGACTAGAGGGGGATGGGGAGACAGGTGTGCAGGGAAAACAAAGGCTGTAGGATCCTAATTCTACCATTCACTTGCTTTGTGTCCTTCTTCCTATCTGGTTTTAGTTTTATTATTTATTTGATAAATACACAGATGTTCCCCTATATCCTGCTTCTGTGATAGGGTGATGCCCCAGGTGTCCACTGCTCCTTACTGTTGCTACCATTTATTCAGCACCTACTTATGGGTAGGGCTAGGGCAGCGCTGAGCATTTTCATACCTTTTAGAGCAGTCTTCTCAACCACCCTGTTGTGAAGGCATTACTATCCCCATTTGAAATATGAGCAAACTGAGGCTCAGAGAGTGTGGATGTATCTCCAATGAGGAGGTTTGTGCAAAGAGACCAAGAGACCTTTGTAATCGCCCCCGGGAAACCTTTTCCTCCGAATTAAATTGGCTCAAAGGGAGGTGTACCTGCGCTTTCCCTCCAGGTTTGACCTCCCAGTTCCAGGGCACTGATGGCCTCCCGCAGAGTCAGAGTCGGTAATAGGTTTCAGTTTTGTTTGAAAGCCAGTGGAGGTGACAAGGACTGGACCAAGCGCACGCCTGGAGTTATATGGCTGGTTGCGGGGAGGCGGAAGGCTTAGACTCACCGACGCGTTTATACGAAAAGATGTCTCAGAGCAAACCCGAGACATCTAGCCCACCCCTCTCACTTGGGAGTTGAGGGAAAAGTTCAGACAGGGAAGTGGCGGGCGGGGGCGGGGGGGGGGACGAGGGGAGCAGTCTTGGGTTGCACGTCAAGTCAGGGGCAGAGTAGCAGGCGGCGTCCGCAGCGCATGGTGTCTCATCCTCCACTTGGTCCGAAGGGGCCAAGGACCCCGCCTGAGACATCAGGACCCCGCCTGGGACCCGCGGGAGCGTCCCGCCCCTTCGCTCCGCGCCCATCCCCCCATCAAGGCACAATTAAAGAGAGGGGTGAGGTTCCCTCTCCAGCTGGGTCATTTTGTTCTCTTTAGGAGCCGGTCCACCCGGGTTTGGAGCATTAGTGCTCCAGCACAGCTCCTGGGGGGGCTCCCAGCTCTGGGGACGGTGGAAGCCGTGGCGGGCGTGTGAGCGAGCTAGGGGGACTGCGCAGGACCTAGCGGAGCCCGGGACGGCTCCAGACAGCACACGCGAGGGACTCCGGCTTCTCGCCAGCGATTCCGCGCTGGCCGGGAGGCTCCTACAGGCAATCGGCGCCGCCCGGAAAACCCGGGCCTGGAAGTCAGGTCTGGGCTCGTTGGGTCCTAGAAACCTCCCGAGTCCCCACCTCCCCCCGCACGAAACCCCTAACACTGCTGCAGCCCGCAGGAAACTGGGGTTGGGGGCTGGGGGAGGGAGGTAAGAAAGACCACGCTGCAAAGAAGGAGGCCAGGAAGGGGTAATCACTCTGCTTCTCCGGGGTGAGGAAGGCTTCCAGGAGGCGGGAGAGGAGGAAGTAACCAAGAAGACCTGGGCAGGGGAGGATTCTTTGAGACTTTTGAGAGGGAGGCTGAATGAGGGGGTGGGTGGTCCTTGAACCCCCAACAGGCTCTATTCTGATCAGGTTTATATGAGATGAAAGCAGGAGGCACGGCCCAGATCTGAAAGGGCCTAGAAGGTTGGAAGCATTAAAGGGAACCACGGTGAGGTGGAGGTTTTAGGATGGTCCCCCTCCCTAGCCTCTGGTTGGGGGCAGGGATGTAGTCTCCACTGAGCCGCTGGCCTTTTTTCCTCTATCCCTCTCAGTACCCAACACACCAGTTAGGAGTACCTGGTTCCCTCTCAGCTGGAGCACAATTTTCAGATGAAGCTTGACTCACCTGCCTCTGGCACAGGTAATGATCACCCCCACCTCTATCCCAGAGGTGAGGGAGGTGGCCCAATTGACAAGTGCCCTGCCCCAGTGAGGCCTCTAACTCCAACTCTAGGTCCCTGGGGAGAGCTGTCCACATCTCCACCCAGACTGATGGGAGGCTCAGGCCTGAAGATAAGGGCGGTTTAGGGGAGGGTGAAGAACACATTTCCCCTGGGGCTTCTGGGGCAGGACTGCCTGCTTAGCACTTCTGAGAGCTTGCTGGAGTGGGTACCACTAACCCCTGGAACCCACTGCAGAGCGGGAGGCAGGCCCAGGCCCAGATATCTCCCCTGCCAACCAGTGCCAAACAAGGCCTGCTGGGAGAGCGAGGAGGGGCCAGTGAACCTTGGAAAAGCAGCTACAGAAAGGCTTCCCAGAGGAGGCAGGTTCTTACTTGAACTGCTTAGATCCCCAGAAAGACAGGATTTTGAAAAGCAGAGGAGAGAAAGGGTGCTTCCAATTGAAGCAAAGGAACAGCAGGTGCAGAGGCATGAAGACAGGAGTGGGAGATGGGCTCAACAAATGGCAGAGGGAAGGGATCAGCAGTGGCTGGAGCCAGTCTGAGAAGGGTCTCTAATGCCAAAATCAGACCTTTGGGAAGACAGGGGCCCTCCCTCAGCTAGAACCAGGACAGAATTAAGGGATAATTTCCCCTCTCTGTCCCTCTTGGGGCCCACTTTCTCCCTTCTGGTTCACCTTCCAGGCTTCAGAGCTGGGGCTCCAGGTGAGCCTGAGTTCCTGGATAAGCAGGCTTCCTCTTTGCCACCACCCCAGCCTCAGGCCTAGCATTCAGGAGACTGCCCCCAGGAGCCAGATCAGTTGCAGGTAACAGCCAGGACTCATTAAACCCAGGCCAAAGAACTGCAAGCCCATGTTCAAGTAACAGAGGATGGCTGGAATCTCAGAGCAGGAGGGACTCTTGAAGATTTTTTAATTCCTCTTTGTCTTTATAAGTTGGGCAAACTGAGGCCAGAGGAGGACTTGCCAAAGTCACCCAGCTGGAGCACAGCCTGGTGGTCCCAAAGCCTGGACAGACACGCTGGTGGTACCCTCCCCAGGAAGAGGGGTGACCAACCACCCACAGCAAGCAAGCTGACGGTGTGTTAGGGGCTCTGCTTCCTTGGGTCGTGACTACCCAACCAGCAGGGCCCATGAGCCCTCATCCTAGGCGGAGAGGAGAGTACCTGATGCACCGTGGGTGCATGCCTGGTGAACTGGCTGTTCAGGAACAGAACAGTTGGATGGAGCTAGTTCTGCCAAAGACTCCAGTTCTCCGTGATCTCTCCCTCCCAACTGGAAGAATGCGGAGAAAGCATTTTTTAAAGTGTCCCTTTTTAAAAAGAATAGCTTTTCTTTTTAAATCTCTCTAGGGTTCAGGATTGCACCTCATCCCCACTTCCCTGGGAACTGACTACAGGGAGAGAATTGTGGGATAGAGAAAAGCACTCCTCACTTCTGAAGTCCCTAGCTATCCCCCTGGGGACCTCGGGCCGCTGGGGCTTCGGAGAGCAGGGTTAGGGCTGCGTGCCCCCTGGATTAAGCGCGGAGGTGGAACAGGTCCGCGTTTCAAGGAAGGCCGAGTGCTCGGTGAATTTCAATCAGACGAGCCGCAGGAATTACGAGAAACATTGCTTATTGTGCTATTATTACCCCCCTTCTCCTTACCCCCCAGAAGCCAATTAAATTTACCCCTGAATCTCGGCTAGGAAAAAACTTCTAAAAGGATCAAAGCCAGAAGTGTTTATCCAGGCCCAGACTCTTGCCCCCAGGCCCTTGGCAGCCACCCGCTTCCTGGCGCCCGACCTCCCCGCTGCTGAAGCGACTGGGTCATACTTCCAGACTTAAAACGAAGTCGTTTATTTCAATTTTGCTTTCACATTATGTTCCGATACAATCAAAACTCCTGGACGAACCTCTTAAATGAAAGTCCTGCATTGAGCGCAATCACAGGTCCTGGGCGCCCGGGTAATACGGCAGGCGGACTCGGGATTCAGAGGCGGTGGTATAAAACATTCGCTGCTTCGGGAACTGTGGGGCGGACAGTGGGGAAATCCAGGGGCAGAGGCGTGGGAGTCGTGCCGGCTCCTCCAATCGGGATTCTTCCTGATGCATTTGGACTTTGGAAAATCCAAACTTCGCTTCCAGGCCGGTAGTGGCGCCGGGCCTAACAAGATTTCGGCCAAAGCAGGGAGCACAGGCGAACGCGGGGCTGGCTCTAGGCCTGGCGCAAAAAGGAGCGCAGGCCGGCTTCGCAAGGATGCGCTCGAGCCCCGGCCTTTCCCGGGTTGCGTTCTCACCAAGGGTTGCGTTTTCACCAAGTCGACTTCCCGCGCCTCTGAGCCTCGCCCTTCCACAGCCCGCCCCCAAACCTCGCAGCTGGGAAAGATGCGGAGTTTAGAAAGCTGTTCCAGAAAAATAAAAGTCCCACTTCAACCTTATTGGGTTAAAGCAAAATTAAATCTTGGCTATTCACACGTATGTTACAGAGGATGGGGAAACGTCCGTAAGAACCTCCTGGCATTTAGTGGAGCCACAGAACACGAGGGCATTGACAAGCATCAAGACATCAAGCAGCCTTAGATTTCACGATCACTCCGAATAGGACATAGAAATACGGAAATACAGCCAGTTTCCACTGGGAAGAGTTCTTTGAATACAAATGATATATATTTATATATATTTTTGAACCAGTCACCCCTAAGGTGAGTCCTTTCTCTGCTAACAAGCAGCGGAGGACACAAAGTATCTTCAGCTAATTAAATCTTGAGCGGTGTTTTAAGAGCAATACTTGCCAAATTAAAACTACCTCCCCCATTCAAAACAAAACAAAACAAGAACCTTATCCCCTCTCCAAACTAAAAAGAGGGGAGGGGCATATTAGATTTCAGCAGGTGGAAAGATTCAGAGGGGTCTGAGGAGGAACATATTTCACATTATACAGTGAAATACAAAGTTTCCTTTGTATAAATTGTAGAGAATAGGAACATGGGGGTAGAAACAATGACAAGGCAGTCTTTCTTGATTACTTCAACCGGAATGGGGGAGACGAGTTTATTTTTGGAAATGGGAGTGCGCAGAGCTAAGCGGAATTTACTTCTCCTAATGAGGAAACGGACAGAGTAGTCCGACCACCCGCGCGCACCTTTTACCCGGATACAGCTGGGGAACATGTAGGAAGTTTCAAGTCGTGCCGCTTTCTCGTCCTCTAAATTTCAGCCTCTTTCTCATTCCCCCTCCTGCCTTCCTCCTGCCTTCGCCCTCTCCCTGCCTCCATTCCGGTGGCGATGAGCCAGTCAGAGGGGAAACACCAGGAATCCGGAGAAGGTCGAGTACTTCCAGCCCCCCATCAAGTTCCCCCGCTCCAGCTTGAGGTATGCTCGGTCGCCTTTCTCCATCTGGATTAGAACTCCATTGCTGGCGGCCTCCCGGGTCACGTCCTGGTCACCAGCAAAGGCTGAAATCACCGGCCACCCGTTTAACATGAGGCTCACCTGGGAAAGAGAAAGGCCTGCTTCAGAGGAGCAACCTAGGCGGGTACCTAAGCGGCGGTAAAGACGCGAACCTTTGCCACTTGGCTAGCAGCCATAAAGGCCTGGGAACATGGTGGAAAGGGGTGGGGGTAGAAAAAGGAGCTTTGCCGCTTACTGCTGAAGGTCCAATGGGGCGAAAGACAGCCAAACTGGGTGACAGGAAGGGCCTGCCCCCCAAAAGAGAGTCACTTTCATTCCTTGAGCCCGCCAAGCAAGTCCCGACTGCGCTTTTATCCAGTTTAATGAACCCGTAGGCAGTTCAGGTGCCCTGATACTTTTACCCCTCCCCCCCCCCCTTCAAAGAGAAACTCAGGCCAACTGGAGTTTCCGGGAGAACAAACAAAACAAACAAAAACCCTGGTTCCTCCTGGTCCTAGCTGCCTGGAACTGTGGAGACAAAGTGGAGAAGCTGGGCGAGGGTTCTGGCTGATGAGAAATTTCACCAGCGCTGCACTCTGTGCTTCATCCCCAAACCCGGCTCAATTCCTATCCCAGATCCAGCCGTGCCACCACTGCCTGCTTTTGCCCTTGCCGTGGCATCAGCCGCCAGAGGCCCAGCGCCCTCTCACCAGCCGTGCATCCTGCCTTCTGTATCTGCCCAAAGGAAAGCTGGACACCTTCGGGAATCTGGAAAGCCGGTGAGTGCCGGCTGGAGCCCAGAGGGAGTAGCACTACACCCCCTCCCTTCTTTCTCCACCCTTCAACCGCCTGGGCTCAGGCGCTGGTGGTTCAAAAACCCAGAGTCGGTCCCCAGACGGATGCCAGGAGCCCCCCTGAGGTTGGTGCTGAGGGCACCCACACAGGAGTCCAGGCTTCCCAGCTGGGACAGGGAATGGGGATACTGTCTGTGGTGCTGAAGGCGAGGGTCGCAAAAAGCTGCTGGGAAGAGGGAACTGTCTCTGATGCTAACCAGCAACCGCCATGGGAAATCCCTGCAGTCCCGTCGAAAAGGGGGAGAACCTCTTTGGAGGGGCCCAGAAGGTGAAGGCAGGAAACTCTGTGTGGGAAGGGGACTAGGTTCCAAGAGCCGGCGAAAGAAGCAAGAAACAGTTGAGGCCACAGAACTGTGAGGCCCTGCTACTCGTCCAACCAAGCAACCCCAGGTACATGCAGCTGCCCCTTCTATCGCCCACCCCAATACGGCCCGCTCACTCCTGCGGCTAATAGCCCCCCGCGCAGCCGGGGCCCGACCCTGAGGCGGTGGCTGACCTGAATGGTCTGTCTGTTGTAGACTTTAACCACGTGGAAGTTAAAACTGTAGATCCCTTTGCGCGGGGCGATGAAAGTGCTGCGTTCTGAATCAAAGTTGTTCCCGATGTTCACTAGTACCTATAAAGAGACAGGAACGAAGGGAGTAGGCAAGAGTCAGTCCCGAACTCCTGTCCCCGAGCCTCTGCAGAGCCGTGGAGTGAATCGAACATCAACCTTCCACCTCTCCCCCGCCCCGCAAACCAATCTGCATGGAGCACTCACCTGGTCAAAGTAGATGATCATAGTGCGATTACTCATCTCGGACGGCTCGTGGTTGGTGCTTCTGATGGCAGAGAAAGCCACCTTGGCGCTGCCAGAGCGTACAGAGATGCCCAGAGCTGTGCCCGTGGGGTCGGACGTGGGGTTGGAGTCGCACACCACCAGGCACTTGCCTTCCAGCACGATGGGCTCCGTCTCATTCTGCCCGCGGGCCGGGCCCGCCAGCCACGCCGCCCCCAGCAGCAGCAGCTCCACGACGCCCAGCATCGCGACGCCGGCGCCCACCCCGCCCCCCACCCCGGGGGCTGCTTGCGCCAGCCGCCCCCCCCCGCCCCAGCCCCACTCCGAAGCCCCCTCCTCAGCTCCGTTCGAAGCTTCGCAGACGCCGCTCCGGACACTACTGCTCTTCCTCGCACTCCCAGGCAAGCGTGCCCCCCGCGCGTTGCTCCCGGAGCCCCGCCCGGGCCTCAGGGGTGCCGCGGCTGCCCAGCCGTACTTGGATGCATAGCCGCTGCCGCTCGGTCCCCGCTGCTTCCGCCGCCTCCAGCTCGCACCCGCCGCTGCCGCCGCCGCTCTGAATTATTGATGCAGCCGGCGCTGCAGCCGGAGCCGGCGGAGAGCGCGCGCCGGGCACAAAGGCGCGGACCGCCGCCTGGCCCCGCCCCCGCTGCCTCCTAGCCCGCCTCCCTCCACAGCTCCGCCCCCGCACCGGCCTAGGCTCCGCCCCCCAACCAATCCTAACGCGCCGCGCTCCCCGCTGAGCCAATGGCGGCGCTGTCCGCGCTCGGCCACCTGACCCCGGGCGCCGTTGTTATTAGGCGCGGCGAGGCGGGCGGCGCGCGGCAGCAGGGTTGGGCTCTGGCCGGGAGTCGGCTGAGGGAGCGAGGACTGGGGGCGCGCGCGCGCGCCCGTGCCCGGACTGTCCGCCGCGGCCGCTCGCTCTTTCGCCTCCCGCCTCATGCCAGCGTCTTATTCAGCCCCCTCAGCCCTTCCGCCCGCCTCCAATCGCCAGCCCGCAGGTAGGAGGCGGTGCGCGCGCCCGGGGTCGGGAATAGAATCGGGCGCGTGAGGCGCCCGTGTGTGGGCGCGCGGGGTGGGAGGGGAGCGCCCCCCAGCGGGCGCAGGCGCGAGGGGCAGCCGGCGCGCGGTGAGCTTGGGCGAGCGAGCTGGCCGGGCGGCCGGGCTGCAGGGCGCGTGCGTGCGCGACGGGGCGGGACGGGGCGGGGCGTGCGCGGTGCCCTCGGCGGGAGGTGCCGGTGCCGCGGTCGGGAGCCCGCTTGCTGGACTCCAGGCGAGTCTCAGCGCCGCCTCCCCAGCCCGCGGCCACGGCGATGGAGTTCGCCCAGCCGCCCTCGCCCGCCTCTCGAACCCCCTTGTCTGTGGGCCGTGGAGTCCCAGCGAGTGTGCATTCCTTCGTTCGTTCTTTTATTCGGGATAGATCATTGAACGTGTACGAAGTGCCAGGCACTGGGCCGGGCGGTGAGGATGCCGTGGTGAGCCAAGGCAGATGAGGCCCGCCTTCGTGCCTCTTACAGTCCAGCACACTAGGCAGTGACAAGTACAGTGGCGTTGCACGCAGTCTCATTTACCTGATCGCATTTTCTCTTTTGCACTTACAATTTAATATTGCATCCGTATTTTTTTATGTACTGTGCCCCTTAACTGCTTGTTTTATCCACGTGTACCTGCGCATCAGGCGTTGAGTGTAGACGTCATGTCTTGTGATTTATGGGCGATTTTTCAAGAGTAATTTTGACCTTACAAGAATTTTTGCCTCACGCATTGACTCAGAACTTTACACACACACACGTAATCACAAACGGGGAAGCAAAAACACAGTTTTGGTAAGTGGCAGGCAGAAGGGAGCTGCGGAGAGGGTGAGAGGAAGGGTTCGTTCCAGCCGGAGGAGCCAGCAGGCGGAGACTTGAAGGATGAACGCAGGCAGTTAACCCGGCGGAAGCAGAAGGACGAGCGGACCTCTCGGTCACGTCCAGAGCAGAAGCGCCGGCTCCGGACCCCGAGCAGAGGCGGGTGGGGATGCTGGCCACCGGCGCAACTAGCGCTGCGGTCACCCCCGGGCGACCTTGAACCTGCATGTTCAGCGGAGCCAGAGCGGACGAGCGGCAGGAGGCAGCCCGGCACAAGCCCGGGGATCTGGCAAGATCTGGGGGCGCGGACTGACTGCATTTCCTTTCAACATCAGGGTTTGCCACCAGCGGGGTCTGCCGCCCCTAGGGTATGCGCTCCCCCACGCGGGGAAACCTGTCTTGGAATCGCCAGTAGCCGCGCCTTTCAGCTTCTCAACCTCCCTTTGTTTCTTTGAGACTTCCATAGCTGTCTAAAGAATTACCTGGGGGGAACCCCATCTCTGACACCCGCCTCTGTTTGGACTTGCCAGGGCCACTGGGCTTGCCAGGAGAAAGGGAAAGGGTGGGGAAACAGGCAACAATTTTACTTTAAATTAAAATGACACAAAAATATTTTTTTCAACTCCAGTCTTTTTGAGACATCCCCAGAAAGCGCTGCCACCTGCGATTACACCTAACGTGAGAGCATGAACTAATTTAAGAGGTGAGGGCTGAGTAATGAGACTGCATCCAGTATAGCGGCCACCCAGGATAGCTGGCAGCTGCGGCCGCAGAGGGTCCCTGGAGAAGCACTCACGCAGAACCTACGATATACTCTACACTGAGGACCAGCCCTGTCCGGGAAAGCCTGTTTTCATGGAGCTCACAAGCCGGACTGAGATTACCTGGAGGGCGTCGGTCGCCAGCTCCTTGTTCCTCTTCTCTTCCTGGAGAGGCTGTAGCAGGGCAGTGCCCCAGCCTGAACTGCCATCTATATGCCAGTGATGCCCCATCTTGCATTTCCTATCTCAGCCTCTCTGCAGCCCAGGCCTGCCATCCTGAGGGCCTGCTGGACCTTGTAGCTTATATACCCTACAGGCATGTTTAATTGACCCACACCTTGTCTCCTTCCTTGCCTCCCAAACTCTGCCCCTTCCTTCTTCTCCTGTTCCAGTGACAACAGCTGCACCCACATGGGATCCCCCCCCCCCCCCCGCCCCAACATCTAATTTGACTCCATCTCTGTCCTATTGTTTGAACCATTCTCATAGGGCTACCTATTGGGCATTCATTTGTCTGGCCTGGGCTGTTCCAAGAGCCTCCTAATTGATCATTGAGGGATTAGTGCAACAGTTGCACCCCAGCTCCGCTATATACTGTTTATCTTCCGTTTGATGAATATCTACTGAATGACTTGAGATACGTAACCTCTGCTTTTTTTCCCATGAAGTGAGACTTCTGTGGTCACCAGATTTCAGATTGATCACTCTTCTAGCATTCTCCATCCCTTTTCCACATAGTATGTGTTCTAAAAGTAATGAATATTAATTTAATGTTAATAGGTATTTACTTTCCTGAGTTGTGGTGATTAAATGAGATAATATATATAGGGAGGAAAATCCATTAGAAACCTCAAAAGCAGTCATGTTTATTTTTAGCGTTGTCTCATTTTAGACCCAGGATTCTTTTAGCTGCAAATGAGGAAGCAGATTCAAACTGGCTTAAGTATAATGGACTTTATCTGGTTAACGCAAAAAGGCTACGAGTACATCTTGCCAGTGGAAATATGGCTGGATCTGCCAGTCAAGGTTATCAAGATCTGTTTTCTGGTTTTGGCTTCATTTTCAGATAAGTCATTTCCTAATGATAGCTCCTTAGATGCTACTACCAACTTAGTCCTAGCAAGAAAGAGAGATGACTTCTCAGAAGTCTCAGGGCTCTTCTTATAGGGGCAGTCTGAGTCGCTTGCCCCTTTCTGAACATAGAGAAGGGACTGTTCTCCTGAGTAAACTTGAATTCAGGTGTCTTCCTCTGAAAAGGCATTTGGTGTTAGCTGCACGCTGTCTAGACTAGGGGGGTTCTCCAAAGGAAAATTGCAGAAGGGATGCTGGGCAGGCAGAAATAACACATGTCTATTTTAGTCTCTCACCAAGGGTCAGCTGCAATGTATTTCACCCAAAAACAACAGTGATGAAGACTGATACAGTAGCCAAAACAATAGATGTGTTTGTCTTGGTTCTTTTGGATCTTCAAGACGTCAGCTAAACAATGAAATTAGACGCTATCAACCATGACATTACTTAAGGGTTAGCTTTGAAGTCTGGATGCACTTTGAATGGTAGAGCCAGATAAGTGTAAATAATTAAGTAATTGTTACATTCTATTCTAAAAGGTTATTTTGATAACATTATGTTGGAATTGACTTTTTTCTATTCATTTTTTAGGCTCCTAAAAAGATAAAAATTTCATTTCTTCGTGGATAGGCACCTAAAATTCTTCATCATTTATCGATTAATAAAAACAAATAGAAATTTGAGAGAGAACATCCAAAAAATAAAAAGATTGAGTTAGGTCATATTTGAAATTTAAGACTATAGGGTTTAACCTGTTAAGACTTTTCAGATGTTGAAATATTGGTAAAGTATTATAAAACCATTGATCTGAAGCTTTTAAAGTAATGCATTACAGAGATTTAGGCAACTACAAGATTGCAAATAATGATTGTATACTGTTGCTGTTATATCCTTTACTTGCTGCTTTAAATTCAGCCTTCTGTTTCGATGAAGTAAATGGTTTATTACCCTTCACTGCATTCTGAATTTCCCACCACAGTGCATTTTGAGACATGAATATAACAGCTGTCTTGATCCCACTCACCTCACATCCTGGGAAAAAAGCAATCCCCTATTTTTAGAATAAGGGAGCATTTTCAGGAAAGGGGAAATATTTTCTCATTGGATATACAATGAACTTGTCCTTTTATTAAATCAAAATGGATTCTCTAGTGTTTATATACATCAAACAGCATTTTATCTCTTAGTCCTGTGGTTCAAAGGCCCAAACAGTATAATTCACTAGTATTTAGTTGATTTGCCCATAAAGCAGAAGAGAATGACTAGTTTGTTCTGAAGTGTTAAGTTTAGGATTTCAAGGGTCAAGGTCATTTCAAATTAAAGCTTGGATCTATTCTATATAAAATATAAAAATGACTCTAAGTTGTACCAAGTATGAAATAAGATTTGAAATTTCACCCAAACCTGTCTTCCTGGTATGTCTTTATTTTTTTGCCTACTCAGACTCATTTTAAATGCCACATTTTTGCTGTTTAAGTTTTAAAAGTTACATTACAAAATAAACTTTAAAATTGGACACTTACCAAATTCAGGATTACTTTTTAATGAAGGCCAGTTTTGTGGTAACATTTTAATTCTTTTAAAAAAAAACTTGGATCTTAAAAAATCAAAGAATATATTCACAATATATTAGCTTTTATGTATGTTAATACCAAACTATGCATTTTCTAGCCTCTATTCTGAAGGAGAGACTATGTGTCTTCTAAATTGAGATACTGGCACCGTTTTTAAAACAATACCTTGGATCTGCTGTGGTATGTGCTGGTAAGAATTTTATATGAAGCTGTTGTTCAAGTACATGCCATTAAGGTCAAAGGAAAAAAAAAATAATGTAATCCTACAGAGCTGCTCTTGAGAGAAAAGTCACATAGGTAACA